TATTATAATCTTACAATCTTTAATTCTATCTAAATATTAGTATTCAACTTTGTCTTCCCCTAGGATTCCAAGAAAAACAGAGGAAAAATCTACAGGCCTAACTGTCAGGTTTTGACCTAACATAAACTCCAGAACCTTAGCCCTGTGGGGCCAGAGAGAAAAAAAAAATTAAACATTATTTCACCTCAGCTCAGGCTGCATTTAAAAAAAAATCCTGTAGCCCTCACACATACCTGTAACCATTCCTACCAGATACACTAAACTTCTGGCAACCAATCATCTTTGAGAACAGAAAGCATGAGTAACAAAAGGTAAGCTATCTCTTCACACACATTGAGACTTTCTTTTTTAATTAAGAAAAAAAAAATTCGGGCTAGGGCTGTGGCTCAAGTGGTAAAGCACCTGCCTAACAATCATGAAGCCCTCAGTTCATCACCCAGTACCACAAAATAAAGTTTAAAAAAAAAAAAATTTCCAACCACCCTCCCAAAGTACCAAACTGGTAGGAGGAAGAATGGAAGGGAAGAACCAAACCAGGGCATGTGATAATGAAACCCCCTGTGTAACTATCATACACTAACAAAAAAGGATTAAAAAATTTACCAAACTACTTGCCTCAGGTAACCAGTTGATCTGTATAAAAATCCTCAGTCTTGTGAATTTGTACCAATTTTACTTCTCCTTCATTTGAATATAATTTCATTTATTTAAAAGAATTCAAATCTAGCACTCAAATATTATCCTGGGATTGTTTCACAGATGCTAATATCTGATAACTTCAACAGGGTTTTAAACAAGATAGTTTGGCCAATTAAGAGATGTGGATCTTTATAAAGGTTTTATCCAAGAAATAATATTTACTAAGAAGTTTTCATGACCAAAAAACATATACAACAGTTTTACAAGATGAGAAAAACTAAGACTCCACCAGAAATACAATTTGCCCAAAGTTACCATGACATTCATCCTTAATGGGTGACACCCCACGGTGCAGATTCCAGCTCTCTGACACTGATGACAATCATATTCTCATAAGAATAAAAGCTGCAACTAGAAAGTGCCCTGTTGTGTTCATTAGGCTTCCCATTAACTGCTTCTGAGATTCTGTTCACTTCTATCTGTGGATGTCACTTTGCATTGAAACTGTTTCCTCTTTACCAGTGTTCCATCTGAAAGGTAAGGAATGGCTGAGCTACTTGGGAATGGAGACTCATTCATTTAAGCACTCCATACAGTATGTACCAGCACTCACATAGAGGTCCTCAACAGATGGCTAGCTATAGGTACAAAATTTGTCATCTATCTTCCTTTCTTTTGCAGTGCTGGGGTTTGAATTCTAGCTTCACATAAGCTAGGCAAGCAACCTACCACTGAACTACATACATCTCCAGCCACCAAAGCTTGTAATGTATTTGCTACATGGTATGTCCTTCAAAATATATCTTATAGCACTATTAATGAATGAAATGAAGATCAGATGATTTAGACCAGTACATTGGTACAAGTCACATTTGGTGTCTCTTAAATACTTCCTCTTTAGAAAATTCCCCAATGCCAACAGAAAACTAAAAAAAGACCTTTCATTTGTACCTCAGAAGTTAAATCCACCAGTCTGGACACAAACCAGGACAATCAACAGGGGGCATTTCCTCACGCTTGGTAGCAGCTAAAGCATTTTCAACATTACAACACACCAGCCAAACAAGCTTTCCTATCTTCCTCCCAGACACTGCCTTGTGGCCAAGCTCACTTGCCCAAAGCAAGTTCATCAAGAATTACTACCGTAGCAACTCACAGGGCAGAAGTCAATGGGAACCAGTATTAAACTTCCAAAGGACAATAAAACTTCGGCAGTATGGGAAGCGAGAGGAAGGATGGAGATATGCTCCGTGTCCCCTCCATCTAAAACTGGCACAAGAAATGTGGGGAGGAGAGGTGGTGCTCAGTTCTCCATCACAGGAAAGGTTTGCTACAAGTTTTGTTTCTGCTCTGCTGGAGGAAAGAAGTTTGCTTTTCAGTGCCAGGTCATGGTCTATTTGTCTTCATAAAAAATGATTAACAAAAAAATTACCAAACTACTTGCCTCGGATAACCAGTTGAACTGTATAAAAATCCTGTCATGTTGCAAATTTTTACTAATTTTACTTCTCCTTCATTTAAATATAATTTCATTTATTTAAAAGAATTCAAATCTAGCACTCAAGCTAGCATCAAGCATTATTCTGGGATTATTTCAGGATAATATTTCTTGCAAGGCCCTAGGTTTCATCCCCAGCACCACAAACAAAAAAAAAAGGCAACCCTACCTGCTCTTACTACAACTACACAAACCAGCTGGGACCAAAGGGAGTAAGAAGTGGGAAGGATCAAGAAAGCAAGTAAGAGAAGTCCAATAGCAGGTGAAACCAGAAAAGACCTACCTGAAAACAATTCATCATCGAATGAAGACGCTAAAGGGGTCCAGTGAACATTTATGTCTGACTGGGTGGAAGGACAGCAGGCTCCACATCACCAACCTTCTCCACTAGGAAATGAGTCTGGGAGGGGCAGAGGTGACCTGAGCAGCTTTTTATAAGGGGCGGGGTTCAGAATTCCCATCCCAGACTTTCTTTACTGCCATTGGGCTTGGTTTGCATGCGAACTGTGCGGGCTGTTTACATCAAGTTGTTCCCATCAGGTTGGAGAAGGCATAATCTCCACCATCCCTTAAACAACTGGAAAGGTGACATAATGAGAGAAAAGACCCTGACAATAACAGCCAGCATTCACTGCATACTTGCTGTGTACAAGGCCCTGAACCCCAACAACGCATTTAACACAGTGCCTGGTGAGACAGCAGCCACTATCATCCATCCGTTTTCATAGATGACAAAAGCAAGACAGAGAGCAACTTTCAAGAGCACAAAGCTAGTACATATTGGAAGCAGGACCTGAAAACTGGGTGTGGTGGCACACACATGTAATCCAGCAGGTAATCTGGAGGCTAATGCAGGAGGATGGAGAGTACGCTATGAGCCCCTGTCTCAGAATATAAAACAACAAAAAGAAGCAGGACTTGAACCCAGAGTCTGACTTTAGAGTCCAAACTCATCACCTTAGCCCAAGACACCGTCCAAATAGGAAGATGAAATTATCTATTTATGAATTACCGAGTGCTTACTTCCCTCTGGTAGTAATCCTGAACTTGTATACTTTTAGGTGGCCACAGGAGTTGTCAACTCTCTGGACACAGTACTAGCCTGCTCCTCTCATGACCTTCCAGCAGCTTGTCTCCCTGGCTGAGTTTCACTGAAAACCGGTTGTGACATTCTGCCCAGGTGTGCCAAGACGTCCCAGCTGCACTGAAGGCAAAATAAAGCCAGAGGCTACCTTCCTCTTGGGACGTGCTGCCTCTCAAGTTTCCACCCTGCTTCAATACTGAGAGATGTCACCACACGCAAGCAGGACATGAACACCACCAAGAACAGGGACGCAGCCTCGGGACCCTGTAGGCCTGAGGCCACCCCAGCAGCACAAAAGACAGCATTCAAGCTGCTATGTTTCACAGTTCCCCTCAGGAGCTGGTCGCAGCAAAGAGACAGTGAGAAGAAACGCATCTCCTTCTCACTGCACCACACAACATTAATGCCACTCGACAGGAAGAAACAGGAAACCTGTCTGCTGGTGGAGAAAGGAAGAAAAAAACAGAGGAAATGGAAAGGCTCCAGGAGCCATCCGCATTATCTAACTCACCCTGCACCGACGCAGGGCGGTTATCACTAGGAAGCTCCAGCATTTACTCTGCTGGCCATGGCCTTGGCCCAACATGCTGAAAGCTGAAACCAGCAACAGTGGGTCTCAATTCCACCCCAGAGCTGACACATGGCTCTCAGTGCTCCTCTGCCATGTGTTGATCTTGAACCCAGTGTGGGACAGAAGGTGTAAAAGGCTGTGTGATGGGGGAGGGCAGCAGGGTCACCTTACCCCAGCACTTCTCAATCAAGCCTCCTCTGGTTCCCTGGTTCCCTTCGATGGCCCATATTACCAGCTTCCAGGGAGGGCTTCCCCAAACTGGCACCGAAGGACCTCACTTCTACTGGCTTGGAGGGGTCTGGAGAGTGTGAGCAAAGAACACCCCCTCAAGCCTGCACAGAGGGCAATGCTGAGCTCCCCAAAGCTCTGACAAGTGGGGGTGCCAGGAGGGTACACCCTAGGAACCCAGAGGCTGGACACAGTTCTTGCAGAAACTGAAAGGAGAAAGCAATGGGACATTGCAATGGGTCATGGACCCAGACCCCATCAGAGCCCAGTAATGTCCCTTGCTGTATCCATGCTGGTCAGCCTTCTTGGAGTCTGCAGTGGATGGGGCAGGATTGCCCCGGAGTCCTCCTCCTAGCCCTCAGTCATCCTCATAAGGGCTTGCATATGCAACTGCCACAGACTTTCTTTCACAGGTGGGGAAACTGAGGCATGCAGAACAAACAGCCGTGCTTTCCTCAACCAAGCTGAAGTTCACCTCTTTACAATTTTGCACTTTTTTTTTTTTACAGCTTTATTACATTTCAAATTTCTCCAGACACACGAATTGCAGTTGCAAAGTGAATTTTAAATACAATCGAAGCTGAACTCAAAATGAGATAAGGGCAGCCAGGCGGCCCGGCAAAGGTTTATTTACTGCAAGGAGAGAATAGGTGCCCCCCACTCACTTCCAGCACATTCCCCACCCCCACCCCCACTCTGCTCTCCCGGGACACCCGTGTGCGGCCACCTTCCCCCACCCCACAACCATCACCACCGCTTGCACCGCAACCCGAGGGTGGGGGCACGGCAGCGGCCCTGGATCCCTGGGATCGGCCGGCGGGCTCCGGTCCCCGGCTGGGACAGAGACGGGGGTCGCTGGGAGGTTGCAGCCCGGGGCCGGGGGAACTTGAACCCCTGGCCCGCGCCCGGCGTGCGTGCGGCGCGGCACGGGTGCCCCTTTCTTCACGACCCCCGAGGCGGGCAGGCGGGCGGCCACTCACCATATTACAGATGGAGGCGATGTTTCGGACAGTCATTAGTCTAAAGGTTGCAGCGATCCCGCACCGCCATCTTTACAAGGGGAAAACAGCACCGGCCATGGTGGAGCGCTCGCGGCGAGGGCGGCCGGGCGGGCGGCGGCGAGGCGGCCTGGGTCCGGCGTTCAGTTTGGTTGCGAGAGGGAGGCCGGGCCGGGCGGCGGCGGCGGGGAGGCGGGGAAGGGGCGGGCGGGAGGCACGCGGAGGGCGGGGAGTGGCGGAGCAAGGGAGCCTGGGCCGCGGCCGCGGGCGAGCGGGAGGAGGGGCGGTCGCGCGCGGAGTCCGCCGGCCGCTCAGCCCGGTGCCACCCGGTGTCGCGCGGCCGCGCCCCTGCCCCGCGCGCCCTGCCCTCCCTGCCCCGCGCCGCTCCCTTCCCCGATCGGCAGACTACGCGGCAGTCACGCAGCCGATCCCCCGGCCTTGTCGCTGGGGAACCGATCACCGCGCTGGCCGGAGAGGCCCCGCAGGGACGCGGGCGCTTCTCCTCCTTGCCTGTTCCCGCCCGGTCCCCAACCGTCTCCCAGGTTTTCTTTTGGGGCGTGTGGAGAAAGTGAAGGGTATGGGGTGACTGCATCCAACTTTTTAGTTTTTCTCCCTGGGATTCCAGCCTGATGGCACCCGCGGGGACCCGAGAAGTAAAATGGGGTCAGGACATGGGAAGTGGCTAGAAAGCGCTGCCTGGTAGAGGATGCCTGGAAAGGATAGGATTCGCTGCACTCAGGCAATTTGTGACATTAGCAGGTACAGAGGACAAGCCCAGGGTCTGGGCAGATTGTCCACAGAGTGGAAAGAACGAGAACAAAACTTTTCTGCATCCTCCAGGAAGACATAGCCCTCTCTGGGGCACCTAACCTCCCCTTTGTGAGATGGGTTCTCGCTCAGCTTGTACACCTTTCCCGCAAAAAAAGGTGATGGCTGCAGACTCAAAGCCAACCCTGTACCCCGCTTAGCAGGTAAATTCACCTGGATTGAAAGAACCTGTTCAAACGTGGGAAAACACTTTTACAGGCCAGCTTGCCGATTCAGGACTTTAAGCAGAGAAGTTGTACACATGAAATGTGACAGATTCGTAGACCAATATATTTAATGACAAGCTGAATAAGAGAGAAAGTAATATAATTGAAGACAGTTTTTATCTAACCAATGTTAATATACTAGGAGAAACAGTCTTAATACATGTAAGATTTGATTGCTTCCAGGACCCAAGTGCAAACAGAAGACAGACACTGCTGACTGAAGGTTCGTGGGTTCATCCCCACACTGTACGTTTGAATGGATATAAGGATTAATATTCCTGCTTGTGATGTCATCCTACCCAAATTTTGTTTCCAAGTAGATCCCGATGATAACAACAGCTAACTTTAATTTCTTATGGTTGTCAGTTATGATTCTTTATACCTATGCACCCTCGATTTCCACATGACTCTGTCCGTTAGACACCCTTACCTCCTTTTGCACATCAGTAACCTAAGGTTGAGAGGAGCAAGTGTCCCGCCCAGGGCTGTGTTACCCAATGTTACAGAGGAAGCTGGTTGCTGTCCTAGGTTGGGTACTACTTGGGGAGGAGGGGAAGACAGCAAAACACCCAAATAATGACCAGTCAGACAATGCAGCCCAAAAAAGTTTAAAGATTTGAGGAATGTCACTTAAGTTCAGGAGAGCCTAAGGTTAAAACTCAGGCCTCTGAACTATTTCACCGAAGATTAACTATACACATTAATCCAAAGTTTTAAATGATAGGAATTTTTATGCCATGATAAAAGTTCATTATTTCTCCCAATATGGACACATAGATGGCAAAGTCTACAGTATGGAAAGCATCGTTGATGGAATGAAAAGTAAAAGCTTCTTCCAGAGTGCTCCATTAGCAAGTCAACTTGATCTCTATGCCTTCTAACAGCCTACAGTAAAACTAAAGTGCTCAGTACAAACAACTGCATTGAAACTCAGGCAATGAGTTCCAGACACAACAAAGCGATTGAACATAGCAGAGTTTGTTAGATTCATGAATGGTTAAATATATTTCATTCTTCCACAGAGCTGATATTCATAAGTCTAAACTGGAGACAGCTTGAGTTGGAGAGCTGTAATTTAGTTTCACTCAGTGAGGAAGCATATTCAGGGGTGGTAAGAGGTAAAATCTTGAAAATGGAGACTTGCTGGTGAGAGAATTTTGAGAAAAAGCATTCTACCTATAGAGAACAGCTGGTGGGAAGGTACAGAGTTAGGATGGGAAACACAACAAATGGTAGAATAGGCTACTGGCTGGTACTAAGCAGCCTCAATGAATTTGAGGATGCATTCACTCCAGGTAGTGTGCCCCTTGCTACACAAAGTGTGGTCCATGGACCAGCAGCATTGGCACCAGCTGGGAGGCTGTTAGCTGTACTCATCCCAGAATGTGCCTTAAGTGGGGAGCACTTGTTGGCTAGAATTCCAGCTCTGTCTGTGTAGCAATCATTTCCCTTCTCCAATAACAGCACCTGGATTCTACTCTGGGGAACTTTCTCTCTCTGGCTTTTAGACCTTAGGGTTCAGGTGTGTTTCACCTCTCTCCAGATTCAGGACTGCCCAATGAGGGCACCTCATCATGTAACCACAGGGATCAGTTCAGCAAATAGGATGTGACACAAGCTACACCAGTAAGAGTCGGCCCTGGGATTTGGGGGGAAAGGAATGCTCCTCTCCCTGAGTTTGCTGAGCTGATGGGATATAAATCTACAGCTGTGGCCTTTCCACTGTCTGAGAATGAAGCCAACACAGGGAAAATTTGCTGAAATATAGATGAGAGATCCTGGCATCATTTATCCAATTGGAATTTTCAGTAACTCGAACCAGTAAAGTTGTCATTTTCTTTGAACACTTTAAGTTGGGTGTCTGCTACTCCCAACTGAAAGAATCCTAATTCACCAGTATGTGCTGTCCCTGAAATTCATTAGGCTCATTCTGAATTTATGATGTTCCCATTTCTTCTCTGCCCTCTAAACCCATCTCTCACAATTGGCCTCCTCCATATAGTCTTCCTAGACTGCTCCTCCCACACATACTGCTCTACCTAACCTTTTTTTTTTTGGTGGTGGTACTGGAATTTGAACTCAAGGCCTCATGCTTGCCTAGCACAAACATCCACTTCGCTCTTTGCTTGGTTCACACTCACTCAGCCTTGAGACAAGTGAGATGCCTTTATTTCATGTCCCTAGAGCACCATCATCCTCTCCACTACACACTTGTAAATGTGTTTATACCTTGTAGCACAGAATGAAGGCAGTGGGTAGCTAAACAGTAGACCTGGTGTCAGGCTGTCTGGACTCAATATAACCATGGGTCGTTTCTTCACCTCTTCATATCTCAACTTCTTTATAAAATAAAGACAGTAAGAGTAGCCCTCAAAGTATGGGTTATTTCCTGTAAAATATGAAGAGCATGCCTGGCACATACTAAGCACTAAGTGAGAGTTATTATTACTGTGCATAGGTTAATTTGATTACTGTCTGTTTCCTACCCTTCATCAGACATGAAGAGATTGGTCCCCATGTTGCAGCTAAAAAACAGCACACTGTCCATAGGAGTTTAAATTGAGTATTTTGACAATTGCCTCTCTCCATGTGGTCTGGAAGCTCCTGGAGGGACAGAACCTAGCCTATTATATCTTAAAAACCCATCCAAAGCCAGACATGATAGTTCTTATAATCCCAAAATTTGGGAGGCTAAGGCTGGAGAATGGCAAGTTTGAGGCCAACTTAGGCTACATAGGGACTACCTGTCTCAAAAAACAAAACTAAACTAAACTAAAAACCTCATGGTCTCAAGCACTGTACCTGGCACATTAATTCCTTTCCCTTTTCCTCCCTGCCAAATATTTAAGACTGCAGTTCATTTACCACGCAAGTGCTAATAACCGTTGGCTGGGGAGGGGAGACTGTGCTGTCTGTACACTTTTGATTGCCAAACTGCTTCTGTGGAGTATTTTTCAGTTCCCTAGGAACTTTCTGACCACCTTTTTCCTTAATCCTCAAGTATCCAAACATTAAAGACACACTCTGTGCTAAGCCTGTGAGGGGCATTGGCGATCCTGGAATAAAAAAGGCAATTCTAACACAGTGTCCCTCTGCATTGCTTATGAAGGTCTTTGCTGCTAGTGCTATTAGTATAAGCATAACCTTGGAGTGAGCTTCAGAAACTACATCTAAAATGATGATATAGTTTCATGGTGCATTTATGGGTAATTAACATTTCCTAAACTTGCCAGGCATGGTGGTGTACACCTATAATCCCATCAAGACTGAGACCAGCCTGGCTACATAGTGAGGCCCAGGCCAGCCTTGGCTACTCAATGGAACCCTGTCTCAAAAAAACACATGAAAACACAAAAAATCCTAAGCTTTCAGAACAATTGTCTTATTTTAAAGTGTGCATTGAAGGGATTTTTCAACTACTGAAGGATTTTTAAGCTACGTTGGAACATGATTGGATTTTTACTCGATACATTCAGATTAACTGAAAGAAGAGAGTACTCTAGTTGACTACTCTAGTGAAGAAGGTCAAGAACAGCAAAAGTGCTCCAGGTGAGGCCAGTTAGACATGCAGGACAGTCCCAGGTTTCTGGGAGCCTGGATTTAGGGAAGTGGCAATGGAAAAAAAGAAGTGGCCAGACTTGCTTTTGGAAAGAGTCAGCTGAATTTGTGGTTGACTGGGATGAGGAACGAGGACAAGTCTCCTGGTTCTGACTAGAATGAAGAGCATGTCTTTTTTTTTTTTAATGATAGGGGATGCTGAAGGAGGAGTCTCAGTGTAGGTGATTGGGGAGAAATGAGCTTGCTTCAAAGGTGTTGACTTTGAGACAACCATGAAACATCTGAATAGTCATATCAATTAGCCCTTAACTCTCCAAATCTGGAGCTCAGAAGAATCTGCACTGGAGAAATAAATCTGAGTAATTAATACACGGAAGGTAATGAGGACATGCAATTACGGGTGAGTAGAAAGAGGCAAGGAGGTGGTCCAGAAGAGTTTCACCATGCAAGAAACAGGCAGAAAAAGAGGAGCCAATGAAAATGAAGACAGCTTCCAAACTGGGTGAAAAAAAGCAAAAAGTCCCATAGAATCACAAAAGCCAGAGTAT